TATCTATCTATCTATCTATCTATCTATCTATCTATCTATCTATCTATCTATCTATCTATGGTGAATATATCTAATTTTGCTGCCTTCTAGTTTCTCTGCAACTTACCCCTGTGAGGTTGGTTGGGCAGAAAAATATGTCCAAAGTCATCCAAACTGTGTTTGCGTGGAAGGATGAAGCCAAGCTCTCTTTACAGTCTAGAGTTTGATCTTGAAAGAAAAAAGAGGCATAGTAGGACTATAGTTTTGATAAATTTTAATTGGTTAGAGTATGTGTTGCTGTTTACAAAAAGTTTGTATTTTTTCTTTTCGTAGCTCTGGATCATAGTTCAGTACATAACTGAAAATGATTGATTCTGTCAAAGTAAGGAGACAGTGCAGTATGGATTTTTATGCTCATTATGAGCAGCTCTGTGCTTTAGAAGGCTGTGCCCCTTTAACATCTGTGAAAGCCAAAAAACTTCATAATATTCTTGATATCAATGCGGATCGTATTAAAGCTGCTGATTGGATACCTCTACTACGTGCGGTCAGACATAACAAGACTTTAACTTTTATTGCAATAAAGAGCTGTCACCATCAGGGGCCTGGGGACTCAGGTAATTAGCCTTTCATTATGCCCTTAAAGCTTGCAGAAAATACCAGTCTTTATCACAACTGTAGAATTTAACAAGGTTTTCTTCTCAGAGCTTTGGCAAGTGGTGTTAAAACATGTGAAGCATCTTGTTTTGTTAACAAAACATAAAGTTGACCTTAAGAATGTGGTTGTTTCTTTTGTTTTTCATTTTCTAATTGAATTTCTAATTGAACTAGATCATTTCCATATTCAACATTTCAGCTGGAATTTATTTGTTCTTAGTCTTTATGTTATCTAAAGAGGGAGAACAATAGATTTGACTTCTACTTTACTTAATTTGAAATGTCTTTATTAGCATTATCTAATTTAGAGGAAATCCAGTCTAATTATAAAGTTAACAGGTGGCAAACAGAGTAAATATACTATATGAATAATTTGTCTTTTGACACATTGTGTGTTTACTAATACTAAAGCTGTTCTTATATCTATTAATTTTCTGTTTACTGATATTTAAGCTATTCTTGTTTGCTAGGTCTTGAAAAACAGGGAACAGGTATAAGAAGAAGAATTCCAGCCATTCGATCCAAAGACTTAACTGGACAATTATGTAAAGCTATCAAAGGTTGTCTGATGGTATCAAAGGCCCTGGGAAATCTAGAACTACATGGGTTGCTTTTGAGGGAAAAGGACTTAATATTATTGACAAAAGTAAGATTATTAAATTGTAACATATTTTTGATTTTAATATGTATTTGCTTTAAAAATTATTAATATTCTTTTTTTAAGGGGTTGGCTGATACATCATCTTTGGAGAAACTATCTTTAGCCCACTCACCAATAGGTGATGGAGGTTTGGAAAGTAAGTTTTGCTTTTTGTAAAAAAAAAAAAAAAAAGTCTGAAACAGTGCAATCATCAAAATACCACTCAGGGGGAAATCCCATATATGATAATTGTCTATTTGTTCAGTTTATGTGGCCACCTGCTAGCCAGACGACTCTGTTAACTATTAAAAAGCTGTAAGATGTACATTTAATTTAATACTTTGTTTTTTAATCTTGTTTTATTTCATTGGCAGGATAAGGCCTTTTACATATTTATTTATTTGGTAACATTTCACATGATCTGTTAATAGTTGATTAAAATATTATATTGGTTAAAATAGCAAATACTGAGATATACAGTAAACTAATATGTAAGAATAAATGTTTCTTTCACAGCATCTTGCTGATGGTTGATGCTAACTTATTTTCTATATAATATCATTCAGGTATTATCCCATTGCATGTTTAAGAGAACAGGATTATACATTCAAGATCTATCGTTACTGTTCAAGATTAACCAAGTTCACCATTCTCTTCCTATTATGGCAGTAAATTTGCTATCCATATCTAAGTTGTCTCTGTGATTTGAGATCATTTTTTTCATAGGTAAATAGGAGAGCTTGATCAGTTGATTTTTGTCTTGTTTGTAAAGTCTCCTATTTATTAATAAGCTTAATTTTAGTAACAGATTTGCCACCCACATTTGCCATATACATCTGGTTAACTGCTATATACTAATTTTTTAAGGGATGGAGAAATATATTTTAAGGAATAAAGACATGCTGGACGTAGAAGTGATGCTTTAATTCCCCATATTGCATGATATGCATGTTGTCTGGCATATATGGTTGATATAAGTCAGATTCAAGTTGCTTTTAAAATAGGGCTTTTAAAATTCCAATTTGTTATATGATGTGAATTGTGAGTAAGTAGCTAAGCCTGTGATTTTAAGTGCAAGCCAAATATAATGTTTTTATGTAGAAATACTTTCTTCCCACTTGTATTAAATACATTTAAGATGAATAATGGAGTTTGTTTGTTTGTTTCAGTAATTTGTCAGAGTGTGAAGAATTCAGCTTGCATCAAATCTATAGATTTTACAGGATGCAGTTTAACCTGGCGAGGAACAGAACACATATCCAGCATCCTGAAAGTAAAACAACTTCGTATAAAACTCATTTGAAGTTTGATTACAGGTAGTCCTTGACTTACAACCACAATTAGGACTAAAATTTACATGGTAAGTCAGTGTGGATGTAAAGTGAGTCATTATGTGATGACTCAGTTTTACAACCATTTTTATTGTGGTTGTTAATCAAATCACATGGTTAAGTGAATCATGAGATCATTAAGTGAATCTATCTACCCCAGTTGACTTTACTTGTCAGAAGCCGGCTAGGAAGGATACAAATTGTGATCATGTGGCCACAAGACTATGTGACCATTGTAAATGTGAACTGGTTGCCAAGCCCCTGAATAGCACGTACCTAATGGTGGGCTGGTATGATGTTGTAACTTCAAGAAAGGTCTTAAATCACTTCTGAGGCCATCGTAACTTTGAACTGTTGTTAAATGAATGGTTGTAAGTCAAGGACCACCTGTACTATTTGAGTGTTCTACTTCTACTTGCTTTTAATTTGTGAAGATAACACTAATAATTTCTCTTAAGATGTTCATGGGTTGTGATAGTTTCAAAAATGTTTGAGAAATGTAGTTTACTACTTAACAGTTCACTTTTTCTGCAGCACATAAGTGAATATATTGTAACCTCCCTAGAGAACCTTTGTACTGGTTATAAATTTTTAAACAGCAGTGAATCTGGGCCTAATGTGGAGCTTGTTTTCATTCTAAGCAGTTGTTGAAACAATTCTTAAATTTTCAGATGTTTATTTGCTTATTTGTTTGTCTTATCCTGTGCGCTCTTCTTCCTTTCTGTGCCATGTGTTTTTAGATGTTTTAGCTTATTTGTAGATATGCTGAACTTTGCTCTACCTACATATGCTTCTTAAATTTCATTTTCCCATCCTCTTCAGCCTATACTCATCTTCCATTTCAGTCATTTTGAATGATAGTTATAATGAGATACATCCAAAACAATCAAAAAATACGGAGGATACTGGGTTGGGAAGAGTTGGTTTAAAGTATTTAGAATTGCAATATTTATTTCTGGACAATGAAACATTTTAAAAAAAACAGTATTTATGGAGGTTATAAAATACTTATGCTGACAATATAATCTTAAGCTTTAGTCTTTTTTGTCAAATGAGTCTATTAGCCAATTTATACTTTCTTTTGAGGATGTGGTATAGGGTTGCATAGTTTATAGATGTACTAATAAACACTCATCTAAAGTTCATAGTAGGATAAAATTCATATAAGATAAGACTATTCTCACAGGAAATAATTTGAAATAAAATATTTTATATCTGTTTTTAATAACTCTCATTTTTCAGTTCCTATTTTATTTGTCCTAAAAAGCTAATTCTACCTCACCTTTTCAATAGCTATGTTTATTATGGTCTTTTACAGCATCAGGCAATAAAAAGACATGGTGAAGCTTGGGCTGAAAGTCTCCGCTATAGGAGACCTGATTTTGATTGTATGGCTGGCTTGAGGCGCATCACACTAAACTGCAATACTCTTATTGGTGATCGAGGTGCTGCTGTTTTAGCTGATTGCCTTGCAGAAGATCTGTGGCTAAAAGGTATGTTTTGTAGATTTAGTTCTGAATATGTTTGCTTATTTTTGTGTTTTATTGATGAGTAATTCAGTTTTCAAAATGTCAAACTGTCATTTTTCTGTTATTTAAAGATCTAATATTCTTTTAATATAGTTCAAGTTTATTGTACCCTTAATTTTTATCACTTTTTAATGACATGTTCTAGCTCTCAGATTTATGTGGACTGATTTTTAAAATATAGCTCAGCACAATCACAAAGGTGATTACTACCTTTTCTATTTTTTTGTCTTTTTAAGACTGTGTATAAAAACTTAATTCTAAAGGGTTTATCTTCACCTGCAAGTAACATATGTGTTATGTGTTGAAGATTATAAGTCTAAAGGACTTTTCTTAGGTGGGTTATGCACATAGTATATTTATGTACTGTTACAAGATGTGAATGGAAAGTAATGTCTCCAGTGTTAACAAGTTATCAACTTATGGCACTACTGATACACTTTAAGCTCTGATGTGTGGTAGGTTTTTTAGCATCTTTCACTACACTTGGTGAAATTGCTGTGAGGAAAAGTTGTGTTTCTATTGTCTGTGAAATGGAAACATATAGTGAGTTCTTATCAATGTGCTTTAACCTATGCACCATTATAAAATCCAGGTGAGGTCAATACTAACCATTCTGGCATCATCAATCTTAAGGGAGCCTTAAATAAACTTAACCAGGAAGCTGTTGTCAAACAATGCTATGTAAAAGTTATGTGCAGCCATAAAACTGACAAATTATTGATGTGATGGAGATTTCAGATCATAGTATTAAAGTATATTTTCTGTTTGAATTGTAATTATGTGTTGATAGATGATGGCAGAAATAATCTATTTGTTTTGTAGAGATTGGTGCTTAAAATATTCATAGACCATGTGGTGTATTAATGTCAGCTCTCTATTATTCAAGCACTTGATTTGCAGCAATGTGGAATTAGCAGTGAAGGGGCGAAATCTCTTTTGGATGCATTTAAATCTAACACAACATTGGTAGTTTTGGACATCAGAAAAAATCCATTAGTAGGTATGTCTGCTTCTGTTTTTTTCTGAAGGTTTAAAAGGATTCAAGTTGAAATTCCATTTTATCTAGAATTAATAACACACACAGCATTTTCTTTATTATAAAATAATGTAATTTCCATGGGGATGTGCCAATCATTCCATGAAAAACAATTTCATGCACAGTTGATTTTGGGTGGTCTGGTACGCATTGCTGATGTTCTCAGAAAACCATTCTATACCATTCTTAGAATATATGAAAACTTTTGTTCTGAAGAGAAGGGAGATAAGGATGAAAGGAAGGAAAAAGTCAAGTGAAGATTTCCTTGGCAGTTGCATATATAGACATTCCCAGTGGCAGCAGGAAAAGAAGAAATTTGAATGATGAGGGATAGGCAGATTTATGGCATATACAGTACCACATTGATAACGGGGAGGGGAGGGGAACTGGGTTGGGAAGGGATGGTACTGATAATATGCGGTTGGGTGGAAAGGAATGCACAGATTGTGTGGAGAAGAAGGAAAGAGGGAAAAATGCATATTAGATTTACTGTACTCACACCATGTTCTCTGAGTTCCTCCTAGCTTTTAGTTCGTCTGGTTCTGCCAAGCTGCAGTTACTTTAGAACTTTCAGAATACAATGGTTTCTTTCAAGTCCAGAACAAACATATTTTAGTTTTGTACACCCTGTTTTTTTCTTTACGTTTTCCTTCGATTTCAGTATAAGAAAAATCAGCATAGTTTATAACTTTCCTTTTTGAAAAACAACATCAGAGGATGACTTCAAATATGCATAGAAAAAGATAATACCAAACAAAGCCCAAAATTTAGTAGAGAAACAGGGTTGAAGAAGCATGAGTGCTACTTTTAATGAGAACTCATTCCCATTAGGCTTTCAAATATTTTCTCCCAAGGTGCTTTCTTATAGAGTTCTATTGCTGGCTTCTGTAGAACTGTATAGCGTTTCAGACTTAAAAGCAAAATGCAAAGATGCTTTTTAGCACCTGTCTGCAATGCATAAATTCACCGGAATCACTCTCTTGGCTACAGTGCAATCCTGGGAGAAGATAACATTTTATTTGAGGAATTGCAGTCAACATTTTATTGTATGTTTATAACCCTCATATGCTGCACAGCTATCTAGAGAAAGATATGAGGAGCTTACATCTGACTTGTCTGTCACAATAAATTTATACTGTGTATTTTCTGATAGTAAGAACTGATTGTCATCATAATTGGTTGTGAAAAATTGGTTCAAAACCGGTATGTTCAAAACGGTATCTATCAAAAATTGGTTCAAAACTTCTTTTCCTTAGATAGCCAGAACAGCATTGAACTCAAGTATATGCATGATATTCTACCTAATGTAAAAGCAAAAAGTAGGAAATAAACATTTAATAATGAAAATAGAATAAACAAGTATTACCTTAACGAACCCTGTAGTTTTGTTTAGTACAAAGCTACTGAACACAGTAAACATGCCTAATCTTTTGTTGCCTATGGTTTAAAAACTAGTAACTTTTGAAATCTAAGGAAAAAAAAATGCATTAATATATTATACTTTGAATCTAAACTATATAATCTATACTATATATATAAACTAATTATGTATGAATAGTTATCTCATAATAATACTGGTAATCCTTGACTTATGATCAGTCACTTAGCGACTGAAGATGGAACAGAACATGAAAAACTATAGGTTTAAAAGTTATAGCCTCTGCAGTGCCCCATGAACATATGAGCAAAATTTGTCCTTATCGCTCACTCGGGTGCTGCAGTGGCCCCTTTATAGTATCTCTTCCTCATCCTGCTCTCCACGTTCCTGTCATCAATTGTTCACTTACCTTTTGTGGAACTTGTGTCTTAACCACTGAAACTTGTGTTGGAGAAGGAAAGCAGGCCATTCTGCCCTTAAATATTCCTAGGCCATGTGTCTTTATCCCAGAAGTGGGCACCATTTTTGAAGCACCTGCAAGGAATTATGGCTTCTCTAAAAATTGTGCCTGTTTCTGGGACAGCGCCATGCAGTCTGCAGGGATGCTGAGGGGTGAGAAGTGGAGCATCAGGTGCTTTAGGGAGTGGAAGAGGGCCTCTCCCACTCCTGTGCAGCCTGTACTCTGCTTAAAGACCCCATGAACACTCATCATTAAGTGAGGTGTTCATGTAGGTGCTTCACTTAACAACCATCATGACTTGCAACCATAGTGGGTAGGCTCTGTTCTGGTTATAATTTAATTGTAACTAAGAGCAGAAAAAAGCAATGATCAATAAGTCACATAGGATTTCTTTCTCTTTTTTGGGGCGGGGGAGTATATGATGCAAGCATTAACTTTTTATTATTCTATCTGTAGATCATGCATTAATGAAGAAAATAATTGAAAAAGTTCTCGTGAATGCCAATGACACTAACTTAGAGGTATGCACTAAATATTCTTCATTATTTAATAATTTAATGAACATAAAATAATGCAACTTGTTTTTGCTAGCCTTTGCTGTTGTTTAAATTGTTGTAGGTTCCTCTGTTTTTTTCAGTGGAACTCTTACATATAGTCCATAATTGAGCCAGATTTATGGTTGTAATTTGTTGCAGTCGTTAAGTGAGTCACCATGCGACTCTGCCCAATTTACTACCTTTTTTGAACCAGTCATTAAGCAAATCTGTTGTATCCACTGAGCATTCTTTGTCAGAAATAAAGGCCAGAAACCTGCAACAAACATTGAAAATTGCAGTCACATGATCACAGGATACTGCAAGCAGCTATTAAAGCAAGCCAAATGCCAAGCAACCAAAATGCAATCATGTGATTGCCGGGTAAATATGGCTGTTGTAACTTCAAAATTGGGTTGTCAGTATCTTTTGGGAGTCTGTTGTAACTTTGGCCATTAAATGAGGACCACCTGTATAAGGACTTTATTTTTCAGTTTGTTCAAGGGTGCATTTTTCCTGAACTGCTTGAGACAGTTACTTCTATTCAAGTAAATTTTGCATAGATACTGAGTATTTTCCACCAATATCAGGTCATTTAGTTACCATTTTTTTAGTCTGTAATTTAAGATTGGTAATCATAATTGTTCCCTTCCTAAATGATGTCATCCATTGGTTTCAATATAGATTTATATAATATTGGTGCTGTAGGAAACCTGTGAATTCCATAGTACAAAAGTAATATTCTCAGCAGCTTGCTATTTACAAAACTGAACATAAAAGAATTTTATCTGGCATCTGACATGATTTTTCCACCTGCTATCTTACTGGTTCATGTTTGTCAGTAGGCACAAAAAAGCTATTGCAGACTAAAATTCAAATTACGTGATGACAGTATAATGAGAAGGTTAGAGTTTGAACAAATTTATTATTACTATTTTTTCTGCAAAGTAGTAGCCATGGAAATCAGTAGAGAAAGGAACCTTTTGTGGGTTTTCTGCAAAGTAATCCAAATAGGTCAGATATTCCTGCAAGTATTTAGACGACTGTTGAGTCTAAATGTATTTGATTGTGCTTAAATGGATAATTTACCAGTGGAGAATGTTGGGGATATAGTCCTTGAATTGAGTAATTGATATAAAATAATAGAAATCCTTTTTTCTATAATCTATTATTCATGTAGCCTAAAATTGCATTTGACTGACAGATGAAGCTTCTGATCAACTGTAAGATCCTTTTGGTACATGTTATCAGCCAGAGATCCCCTCTTCTACAATTGTATAATATTTTACCTAAATGAAGAATTTTTGCCTCTTTTACAGTTAATTATGTTTCAGCACGCTTCTTTTATCTATCAAGATTATTTTGAATTTTTGTCTGTTTTTTATAGTATTAGCCATCCCACCCAAACTATTAGAGGAACAAATTTATTAATAGAGGAAAAAGGTATCTATTTAAAATGTTGTTTTAATTAGTGCTATCCTAAAGCCACTTTAGTATGTTTATTGCATGTTACTTACAGTTTGAAGTAACTACTACTAAACCAAAATATCTGTGCTGTTTCCTCCCCTTGCTATTCTAGTACAAGTGGCTTCCTTCTCCACTTTCAAAAGATGTTAAAAACAAACATAAAAAAAGAACAGTAGTCTTGGGAAATGGCAGAAAAGGAAAAGCTACTATACGTATTGGTAATTATTTTACTTCTTTTTATATGAGTTAATATATAAATTCTTTTATTATATCAGTGAGTTGCTATTCTCTTATACCAAGTTCCCCAACCCCCAGTCTGTGGACCAGCTCCAGGCCACAGCATGCCAGAAATGGCTGCACAAACAAGCAAAGGCCCATCCACAGGATGCAGGCAGCACATGAAACCTTATCCCCTCTGGTTCGTGGAAAAACAGAACTGGTCCCTGGTGGGGACCACTGTCCTATACGAGTAGAATAGTTGAACTGTGTGGTTCTTGGTGCTCTCTGAGGTTAGTTATTTGCAGACATTTCATTACCAAATTAGGTAACATCACCAGTGTTCTAATTCTCTTCTACATTTATAACAATTTAAAAACAGTGAAATTAAACAAATTGCCTAAAGTTTCTTAACGCTTAAATAAACTGATAATAATTATTTGATATAGGTAATTTGATTATCTGATCTTTTAGCATTTAGAAATCACAAGAAAACATGATCTAATTGTGTTATGTTTAATCTCATTGGTCAGTGTGTTACAGCCAGGTAAAAAGTCAGTTACAAAACTAACTCAACAACCAAGAGAGCTAATGTATTTTTAAAGCTCCAAAATTTATAAAATACCATTTAAAGTTTTTAAATTTGTATTTTGTTCTATCATACGATAATTGTATTCAGTCTGAACAGAAATATGAATACTTTTCATATATAATAGATTGGAACAAACAATCCAGTTATAGGCTGTTGGTGGCATTTCTACTCATACATTACAGTAAGGAAATTATACCTTTATAAGGCTAACAAATTTTACTGGATTTTAAATGTGCAGTGAGTGTGCAGATTTATTTGGTAGTCCAACTATGTTGTTCTGTCTGGTTCTGACCTTTCCATTCTGTACCATAGCCGTAGATGAAGCTATCTGTTAAACTGGAAACTAGATCTCTGGCATTTCAGAGTGAATTCCAAAAAGAAAATTCAAAGTATGTGGGAGTCAATGTAATATTTGTAGGTAACTTTTTAAAGCAGCTACCTGTATTTTGGGATGCATGATTGCCTTCGCCAACTGCAAATGATTTTGAGAAAAGAAGCACTTTAATACTGGGGGGGGGGGGAGGTGCTACATTTGTGTCCCTTTTTTGTATGAATATCAAATGCTAACTATTCTTAATTAAGAATTAAGAATCCGTTTTAAGCATAGTTTGGGTATATGTTGAATTACATGTATATTAAATATCAACTTGTCATCTGATAATGGAATCATTTCAATATTGTTCTGAAGCCCAAGTATCTGTATACATTGATAAACATTAATACACATAGCTTTCATTGTGTATATATATCTATAGTTGGGTTTTCTAATTTAACATTCTAAATTTTTAAAAAAGTTTGATTTGAATGTACCAGGAAAAACAAGACTTACTTGCTTGTTTTTGCTCTACTCTCTATTAAAAGTACTCAAGTTGTTTGGCTTAGTTTATATTAGCTTCATTCAAGAAGTCTTAGCAAATTAGTCACTGAAATTTCATGTTGTAAATGGAAAGTTATCTAGACTATGCTTTCTTGGTTGATTTTTCCTGTGGCTATTTTTTCTGCTTTCGCTTCAGTAATTTGGAGACACAGAGGTAAGCATATAAAATGAGATTTTTGGAGATAAAACTGCAGTCCTGTATTCACTTTGGCATGAAACTACTTGGACATATTTCTTCTGTAATTGTGCATATTATTTATTGTATTACCACTATCAAGTGTGAAACTACCGTGTTTCTCATGTAATAAGGCCGAGTCTTTTTTTTTTTTTGAGCCCCGAAAAAGTGGCTAGGACATCTTTTTTGGGGTGAATTAACTTCTTCCCCCCCTGCGCACCCTCACCTTGGGCACCCTGGGGGCAGCTACACCTTGTCACCAGCCACTCCTAACGGCCAATCATGGCGGAGCATGGGGGCTTCCTATCCCCGCCAAGCGCCTTTGCTGCAGACCCGGGTCAGTGGGCAGGTGGCGTGGATGTCTGCTGGCAGTGTTTCAGCCACTTCTCAGACCTCCATAGCTTCCATGGTTCCACGCCTTTCTCGCCAGCGCCGTCTCCCAACAACAGCATCTGAGTCGCTACCACTTTTCCCCCATCCCCGTAACAACAGGAAAAAAAACATTTTGAGGTACCTGGGAGTGCTACACGCTGCGTTTTGGTTTATCCTGAGTGGCTGGGTGGGCGTGAGAAGAGCCAACTGAGCATCTCTGCTGCTGCTACCCTTGGTGCTCCAGCCTCGGGCTCTGCAAATTTCCAAAAGTCCCAGTGCGCAGCCCGTTCCTGCATTCCAAGCACGCCAGGGCCGAACTGCAGCTGTCCCTCTGTCACCAGCGCCATCTCCAGCAGCAGTGGCAGGAACCGTGGAAACGTTTCAGCCGCTTCTTGGGTGGGGGAGCCGCCTCCTTAAGTTCCACGGTTCCCGCCGCTGCTGCCACTGCTGTTGGAGACGGCGCTGGCGAGAGAGGGACAGCTGCAGCTCACTCCCAGGTACCTCAAAATGTTTTTTTTTTTCCTGTTGTTACGAGGATGGGGGAAAAGTGGTAGCGACTCAGATGCTGTTGTTGGGAGACGGCGCTGGTGAGAAAGGTGCCAGCACTGGCGGGAACCATGGAAGCTATGGAGGTCTGAGAAGTGGCTGAAATGCTACCGGCAGACATCCACGCCGATGCCGCCCACCTGCTGACCTGGGTCTGCAGCAAAGATGCTTGGGGGTAGGGAGCCCTCCGCGCTCCGCCATGATCAGCTGTTAGGAGCGGCTGATGGCAAGGTGTAGCTGTGGGGCACTCCTAATGGCAAGTTCCCCCCCGCCTTCCCCTCCAATTTCACATGTTTTAAAATAGGCCTAAATTTGGGGGGAGGGGCTTAATTTCATTTTATGCCTAAAAAACATGCTGGGTCTTCCTATTGGGGGGCATATTGATGGAGAAACTCAGTATTGTCCTGAGCATCAAAGATTTCAAGTTAATCACATTTGCATAATGCTTCCCACATCATTGAATTGAATTGAGACTGGACACACGGGGAATTTGTCTTGGGTGCATATGCTCTCAGTGTACATAAAAAGAAAAAAATACATTCATCCAAAATCATAAGATACAACACTTAGTGATAGTCATGGGTTACTAAATAAGCAATCAAATCATACTAGGAAACAAATAAAATGATATAAATCATAGAGATACAAACAAGGTTATAGTCATAAGTGGGAGGAGATAGGTAATAGGAAGGATGAGAAGAATAATAGTACTACAGTCTTAGTAAATAGTTTGACAGTGTTGTGGGAATTAGTTGTTTAGCAAAGTGATGGCGTTTTGGAAAAAAGTGTTCTTGTGTCTAGTTCTGGTGTACAGTGCCCTATAGTAGGGGTCACCAAACTTTTGGACCTCAGGGACCAACAAATTCATAATTTTAGATCCCAGGACCACTAACCGGTTCTGTGGGTGTGGCCTAATTTGTGGGTGTGGCTTGGTCATGTGACTGGCTGGGCATGGCTTGTATGTAAATATTATAAATATTAATATAAATATTGAATTTTTTTATTAAGAGCAACTTTTACCCCAAATCAGGCAAAGCAGGCAGATTGAGTTGCTCACAGAATCACAGATTCATTCAGAAATCTATCTATCTGCCATTGGCTAGCTCAGTCTGTCACATAAAATTTGCTTGCAAGCAAACTCACAAAATTAACTCACAACACACCATGCATGTAAATATTGAATTTTTTACAAAAAAGAGCAACTTTTACCCAAAATCAAGCAAAGCAGGCAGATTGAGTTGCTCACAGAATCATTCAGTGATCTATCTGCCATCAGCTAGCTCAATCTCTCAAATTTGCTTGTCGAGAGTCTACACTGAATTTACTTGCAAGCAAACCTTCAGTCCTAAGGGAGGCTGTGCTGAGCTGAAGGTCTAAAGAGTAGCTAGAAAGCAAGAAATCCAACCATTTCCTGCTTCCTAACTAATTTAAATCTCTCAGCACAGCAGAACAGATGATGGTCAGAAAAAGGAAAAATAGCAACTTAGCAGACAAGTTTACGGGTAAGGAGTAAGTGGGCGGGGAGAGTTCCTGTGGGCCATATGGGCCGTGCAGCCTTGTGTTTCTGCGTAGCCTGGATTAATTGCTTTGTGGGGGGTGCTCTGGGTATGAGATTTCTCTGCGGCCCACCAGTGGGCCGCGGTCCATCGGTTGGTGACCACTGCCCTTTAGCATCGTTTTGAGGGTAGAAGTTGAAACAGTTTATGTCCAGGATGTGAGGGGTCTGTAGATATTTTCACAGCCCTCTTTTTGACTTATACAGGCCCTCAATGGAAGGCAGGTTGGTAGCAATTGTTTTTTCTGCAGTTCTAATTATCTGTTCATGAAGTTTCACACCTGAAAAAGTTTGAAATGAAGCATTTTGCGCATTCTGATTATAAAAGGCTGAAAACATATACATTGTGCATTGTTTTTATTGGGAGTTTAGAATCATATTACCATGTTCTAGTGACTATAATATATATACTGCAGCTGTATTTAACCAGCATGTAGCTAATGTAGAGGAAGGTCATTAATCATATTAGTCTTTGAGGGCAAAAAATGAAGTACCCTGCCCTTTCATAGAGAAAAATTCTTGGAAAATTTGTTAGAAAAATTGTTATGCTTTCTTATAACATTTGTTAGACTCTGGATAAAATATTGTTTGTAATTGCTATAGAGTGTGATGTTACTTGATGTTAGTTGTTCTTCAGTGTTTTAATGTTTTATAGTGTATCTTAACTGAGTATCTGTAAGCCACTTAGAATCACCACTGGTGAGATGGGTGGCATACAAGTTTAATAAATAAAATAAAAAGGAAAATATCATTTTCTTTTGCAATATACAGGATGCATGAAAAATCAGGCTCCATAGACAATTTATTATATAAATTACATTAATATTCAAATTGGTTATCATTTTCTTCTAAAATATACTTTCTTACTCATTTGACATATGACCTTGAGTGTTCCTAAATGCAGTAACATTTTCTCTGGAAAAAAAAATGGTCTGATTTTTAATTCATACTATATTTTGCGGATTAGAAGCATGAAAAGAAAACCTTAAGCAAATTAATAGTAAATTCTGCAAAATCAAACTGCTTTTTCAGCCTTGTCCAATCTGATACCTTCCAGATGTACTGACATCTGCAGAGTACCAGTTTGGCTCACTGGGAAAAATTATGTATCAGGAAGATAATTCTGTTATCATTTCTACAGCTATAATTACATGGTGGTAGCTTCCAATTGTTGAATATTAAATCTAGAGTTTGTGGAATGAAACAGTTTCTTGGTAAATTGAATAGCTTTTTTAGATGAGTTTACAGTAGAAATTCAATGCCACCCATATTCTCTAACCTAAAAATTCAACACTTGTTTATGTAGGTTATTTGAAAGTGCTCTTTCTTTTGCTTGGCATAGGATTTTCATCAAAAAAATCACCCAGTTCTGGTAAGACAATGTCATGGGATCAAGACAGTTATGCTCCAAAGCCATTACCCCCAGGGACACATGGCTTCCTGCCCTGGCGTACTGCTGAACGTGCAAAGCACCATAGGTAATATGTACTGAAAGTGTTAAGTTTGTGTATGTGTCCCCACATATATAATTGTGGTTTTGAAAAACTAAATTCACAAAATACATCTAAGTTATAGTTTCACAGAATGATTGTAGCTAGACCCTAACCTGCAGCACAGTATTGAGAGTATATGTACTCAATCAAAGAAATTAAAAATAAAATTCCTGCATTTAACATTTTAGGGCTTCATCAGCAAAAAATACCCATGAATTTCCATTGCAGATACAGGTAAGTCAAATGAATTCTAATCAACAAGTTAAACTTTTCTAATGGAATTTTTGAAGAGCATTTCATTTAGAAATTTTTTAACAAGTGTTACATAATTTTGACTTGACTTATTGTCAACTTTGCCAATATTGCCAAACATTACATACTTTATTTATAACATGAGGCTAATAGAATGAGAGCTAATACCGTTATATTTGCTTTATATACTCAGACAGGTATTCCTGTGACAGTGACTGTAGAAAGTGGTTCTGCATCTGAAACTGAGACAGAGGGTGCTATGGACAATGTGATTTGCAGAAAGGATGCCACAGAACCCTCCAAATTTACCAATTTAAAACAATGGCATCAGTTACAGGTATGGTTATGTAATCAAATTTGGCTTAACAATTTATAAAGCAATTACTAAATTAATAGCAAGATTATGGAAATTATCCCAATAAGATTGCAGTATCCTCTTTTAAAAATATGGATCTTAAATGAAGCGTAGAAGTTTAATAAAGATTAATATTTTCATTTCATTTAATCTTGGTAAGGGATTACAAAGTTACACAATTTGGAATCATGGCAGTTTTCTTTCCTGTGGCATTTTAAGTGAAAGAATACACATGTAAGTACTGCTTAATTGCTAGGCAAAGAGACATTCTTTATTTCTCCTGGACTGTCAAAACTCATTGTAATGGAACTTATGGATGATACTGGGGGGGCGGGGGGGAAGAAAGAGATGCTGCCTAGGAAACAGAAAGAAGGCCTGGGTGGGGCATGAATGGAGGCTCTGGCGCCACCTGCCCACACACAAAAAAGTGGCACAAAAGAAGTCCCCTGCCGCTACAGTTCTGGCATGCAATATGGGCAGAATCAGATGGTGGGAACAGTGGATAAACTGGTGACCAAAAGACAGTGGTAAATGTGGGTTACTTAGTTACTATGACCATAGGGGTGCTGCTATAGGTGGAACTCTGAAGACTCCTTATAAGTCATAAGTTGCTGAGTGAACGGACATTAAGCAGGGACTGTAGAGTTATCCATAGAGACAGGAATTGAGACCAGCATTGTTTTATCTTCACCCTTTTTATATGTTTTCTATAACATCACATGTATAAATAAAATAGGCGGGATGCAGCCTTGCTTTTGTCATTTTGATGAAAGTCTGATCTGTAGTCCCTCTTGTTTGTGCATATTCCTTTTAGAATCTATGTTTTGATATTTAAATACACACTTATCATCTTTAAAATGACTTTTTATTAAGTTATTGATTTAGTTTTCTCTGCTGACAGTCAATCTAAGTGTGGGACGTTTTAACTCAATACCTGAAATATTTTAAAAAGTTTCACCTGGAACTTCTGTACAAGTAAACAATATGGACTTAACCACTAAGCATCTTTGTTTTGTGAGATAACTGATTCACAATACTTTTAAAGTATGCTTTTAGTTTTAGCTTGCATAACATGGCATACTCAACAAATTATGGTTAAATCATGGTTTAGCGTAATGGGAATGAGCCAGTCCATTATTTTAAGCTATGGCATTCCTTTCGTTGCTGTTGTTGTTCTTTGCTGAAGACTGGTTCTAGAATTATTGAAAAATGAAAGAATAATACCTGATGCCATCAAATTTACAAATGTACACATTTTCATCTGAGGACTAGCCTATGGAAGTGAAAGCTTTTATATAATTTTTCAATGCCTTTTAATTAATAGACGTTATCTCTCCTAAAATAAATGTTGTGTCAAATAAAGTTCAGTAGAAGAAATCAACTTTTAAAAATCATTATTACAGGACCATTTTATAAAAACTGCAGAATTGTAACCAGTGCTTTTGAGATAAACCAAATTTATGGCAAGATTTTTCCAATCGGTGAGATATTATTACTTAATGTTGAGATCTAAAGATTTTTATTTTTATTAAAATAAAATAAAGGAATATATTACTGCAGACATCGTAAGATTTGCACGAGTCTAGTAAATGTTTCAGTTGTATTGCCTAGGTTTTTAACTAATTAGAAAAGCATTTTTAATTAAGGTAATTTGATTTTTTAAATGTTAAAATCTTTCACTTTAAGATCAGAATGTACGCTTCAACCAAGGAAATTCAGAAATTTCAAAATTCTAAAATAAGACTGTTTTAAGTTCATTGTCTTTAAAATAGCATTGTTAAATGCTTCAGAGAATCACAGTCTGCATTTTGACAGATGGAGTATGAAGAATGTCACTTAAGACTAAAAGAAGAACGAAAAGCAAGAATGATTGCTGAAGAACGGATAATGGAGGTAACAATCATTTTCTTTCTTGGATACCAACAATATTTTTTTCAAAGTGTTTGACCTCCACTTTATAAAAAAATAGTTTCCATGCTATGTAATATTGTTGGGGTAAGAACTGGCAAGAGCCCAAATTTACCTTGAATGAGGGCCAAACATGAAACCTACAGGAACATTAATGTTATATATTCACTGAGTTGTCAGGCAACACAATTGCAGTATCTGCTGGGATACCCTCTCCTTTAATTTTTCTCGCTTCCCCCCTTTTAATATAGTGTCTAGGTATATTTGGCTTCAGGGACTGATACTCTGTATAAACAAATGGGCATTTTATTGTTTTCATAATGTACCAGGTGATTTCTGATAAGTTGCATACTTTTGATACCATAGTAGCAAAACATTTTTCTTCCTCAAATGAGAAGTAGCAGAACGCTAGTTTTGATCTCCTTTTCTTTATGGAACTGCAAGTTGAAGATGAATTCTCAAGCTAGTTGATGAATATTTATTTATTTATGGCCATCGTTGCTGCATTTCTTATTTACTGCGCTCAAGTGTGTTGTTTCTTATTTTATCTTTAATCTGGGATACCAGAAAGGAAGAGGAGCATCTAAAGGAAATGATAGCATTTCATTCCAAAAATCTTTATTAGAGAAGAGGTATTTGCTGTATTAATACAGTTTTGTTTCATTATTTATTATAGTTGGAATTGGAAAATACTCAATTACGGAATATGAATTGCTCTCTCTCAGAAGTTGTCCATGCACAGTCAGTAGCCAGCACAATACTAGAAGACGAAGGAGTGCTTGGTAGCATTGAGAATTCTTTCCAAAAATTTCATGCTTTTTTAGATCTTCTTAAAGATGCTGGGTAAGAGAAGCCATTGAGTGCCTTTTGAATGATCCTTGATGCTATATGTCTGTGTATAACAGATTTAAAGAATAGCAGTGCTTTATCTTTTAAAATATCAAAATTATCTAATCAAACTTTTGATTTGTTGAAGCCTCCCCCCCCCCCCCCCCGTTTTAAAAAATTGCTAGGCAGAATAAGTCCAGATCAGAACAAGTTCAGCACACCCTTTTATTGGATTGAGATTATAGGGCAAACATAAGGAAGAAATTATGTATTTCATAATATTTTGGTATCTGTGTCCTTTTTCTGGAGTTTTTGTATTTATTTTTCTTCCAGTTGTGATATATTTAAAAATATATCTGAAGATGATTTACATTTTCGTATAATTTTAGAGCATGGCTGGTATCGGGGGTTCTCTTGTCTGCAATAAAATAGTAATTTAGTTTCTTCTACCATTTTAGAGCTTAATTATATAAATTTAGTTTTTTTAAAATTAAAAATGTATAGTTTCACTGTTTTTTAAAAATGTATTTGTCATATTTTCATATTTTGAAGTCTTGGACAGCTTGCAACAATGGCTGGTATAGATCAATCAGATTTTGGCGTATTACATCATCCCCAAATGACTTCTACTGTAAAGCCAACTGTGATAGAAAGGGAGAAATCATTTGAAGAAGAAAGACAAGAACACATGCAGAATTTCAAAGTAAGCTTGTTAACTCACTGCCCAAAATACATAATTTGTATTTTTTTAAAAAAACTATTTCTTTGCTTTTACCTAAAATGTTTTCACATAGTTCTCTTCTGCATTTCTGTGTTTCCTTTGCAACTCTTGGACAGCCGTGTAAATAATAATGAAAATAATAGAAATAACAACTATTCATTCAGTGAAGATCATAGTGTCTCAACTATGTTGTATTCTGATTATTTGTGTTCTAACTAAAAGCATATGATTCATAGTATGTAGGAAATTTTTAGGATTTTTTTTTGCAAAGTCAATCGTGTCAAGTCTATTAAATTTTAAATTTTTCAAATATTTAGTGAATCTATTAATTTTGTAACTTGGTTGATTGATTTAGAGGCCACCAGTTCTAATATAATTCCAGATATAGGCAGTCCTTATGACCACAATTGATCCCAAAATTTCTGTTGCTAGGTGAGACAGTTGTTAAATGAGTTTTGTCCCATTTTGTGACCTTTCTTGTCACAGTTGTTAAGTGAATTATTGTAATCGTTAAGTCAGTAATATGGTTATCAAGTAAATATGACTTCCCCATTGACTTTGCTTGCTAGAATGTTGCAAAAGGTGATCACATGACCCCAGAATATTGCAACTGTCATAAATATGAAACACTTACCAAGCACCCAATTTGATATGAACCACATACCAAGCATCCAATTTGATCATGTGACCATGGAGATACTGCAAAGGTCATAAGTATGAAAAACAGTCATAAGTCACTCTCTACAGTGCTGTGGTAACTGTGAACAGTCACTAAACAAATGGTTGTAAGTTAAGAACTCCCTATAGTTTAAAAAATTGAAAATGGCATGGCTTCAAGAAATCCAATTACTAAATTTTTCTGGTGGGTTTGGGAAGAGGTGGGAAACCAATATTGTAGTAATCCAACTTGGGCGGGGGGATAATATGTGCATATGTGTATGGGGAGGATCCTTTCTTTTTTAAATACATCTTTTTTCGATATGTTTGTTTTGAGCTCCAATTACTATTATAGTAAGCTTTCTTCCAAAATCCTTCAAGTTCAAATCTCAATGTGTTGTTACTTTTTCTATTTGTTTTTTGACAATTTTATTGTTTTTTGGTATTGTTGTTCTATAAACCACATTTGATTCATTTTGATCATGATGATGTTGAACATTGCTATGTTTGATTCAGGTGTCTGTTGGTCTGTATTACTGTGTAAGTTCAAAGATGAAACCATAGATATTATCATTAATGACTATATAAAAATTATAAAAGCATGACCTGATAAAACTTATGCACTGGAATTTATACAGAAAGTTTAGCTTTCCTATTAACAAAAGCTACTGAGACCGCATATTTGAAAACAATCTTAGAAAATTAAAATGAAGATATTGTGGGATTTTAAAATAGACCAGCAAGAAACCTGAAGCACAACGTACCAGATATCTTTGTTACTACTAGCATTTCTATAGAATGTATTCAAATAATTATGTTACAATTTTTTTACTAGCCTGTTATGAGGTCATAGAGAGAAATTAGAACATGCTCTCTGTCCTTTTATCATTTGTTGCATTTCTGTGCAGCAAATTGAAGATGAATGGTGCTCGCTGCAAGCCCACCAATTGGCCTGAGTCATTTCCTCATAATTTGTAGCTACCACTGATAACTATTTAAACATTTAGCAATAGCACTTAGACTTATATACTACTTCACAGTGCTTTCCAGCCCTCTCTAAGCAGTTTACAGAGTCAGCATATTACCCCAACAATCTGGGTCCTCCTTTTACTCACCTGGGAAGTATGAAAGGCTGAATCAACCTTGAGCCTGGTGATATTCAATCTGTCAAACTACTGGCAGCCTGCAGTCAGCAGAAGTAGCCTGCAGTACTGTATTTTAACCACTGTGCCACCACGGCTCATTTAGCACAAGAATTTGTGTTTCAAGCACTTTACATAGAGTGACTACATTCAGTTTCTCAAAATACCTGCTAATAAAAGGCCCATTGGTATTACATAGGATTTTGAAAAAGAAATTACATCATATTCTAATTGTAATAAATAATGAATATATATATTATCAAATAATGAATATATATATTATCAAATATAGTTAAGCAATGTGTGATGTTCTTTTATGTTTTAATTCTAAAAAACAAATGGCAAGTCTTCAAAATGCTTCCTTTTTTTCGAAAAGGTTTTTATTTTTAACAACAAACTTAAACAAACATAGACATAAAACAACAAATAAAACCTTCTTTCAATTATACAGTGTGTTGGTTGGTACATATTTCTTGTGCACAATATCTATAGTCTTTTCCTCTTAGATTTACATTCATATTGCATTAATCAACTTTCCATGTAATATTATATTATTATTACAACTTCATTAGACTTTAATTTCAAATCCACATTATCCTTTAGAGCAAATGTCTGTTCTTACTAATTTTAATTCATATTATAATTCATTCCGAAATAATCAATTATAACATATCATTGCTATTGTATTATACTTCAGTTTCCTACTTTTCTGTTGAACCATTGGTAAAATAAGTCCCATATCTTATAGTACTCTTTTTCTTCTTGCTCTCTAATTGCTAATGTTAATCTACTCATTTCTGCGCATTCCATTATTTTCTTAATCACCTCTATCGGAATTTTCTCATTTTTCCAATTGGCCTCTTCTATGTTATATTTTATCTTTACATCTTCACACTGAGATAGTTCTGAAATAGGAACCATGGAGTGAACCAGTTTGAACTGAGTTATGGAACTATTTCAATATTCTGAATCTGTGTTAAACTAATAGTTCAGACATATGAAGTGGCACTGTTAAATTGTGAAATGACTTATTCAGTTCATAGGTATTATCATTCTTGTGACTGATGGTAGTATACGCCATTAACAGCATAGCTAACTGTGACTGAACCATTACAAAAAGGAAGATATTGGAAGCAATTATTAACTACACCTTGTGAGATTTGCATGTTTCCCTGTACTTTCCAGCATAGTGTAGTGTAGTGTACAGTACAATAGAGAACCTGGAAGGTATCTTGCAGGTCTTTTAGTCCATAACGCCCTGCTCAAGCAAGCAGACGTATACTATTTCAGATAAGTGACTGTCTAGTCTCTTCTTAAAAACCTCCAGTGATGGAGCGCCCATGATTTCTGAAGGCAAGCTATTCCACTGGTTAATTGTCCTCAGTGTTAGGAAGTTTCTCCTTTATGCAACAAACAACAATAGTCTGTATAGTTATCAGTGGAATTTCCTCCCAAAATAACTGGTAGTTTTGCAAATAGATTACGCTTAGACATACAAAATTATTTCAGAGTCATTTTTAATTGTTTTAATTTTTCTTCCTAGACTGCTGGCTCTACTTCTTTTCTGAGTCCTGTCACTTTCCAGAAAGACTTTGATTCATGTCAAGCAATAAATAGTGACCTACCTGCAACAGTAAAAACTCAAGACCTTCAAGGTGTTGGTTCATCTCAGAAAAGCTTGTGGCAAGACATTGAAGCTAAAATAGATAGTTGGAGAATGGAAGATCATGAATCAAAACCCGCCCAGACAGCTTCTGAGAAGAACAGCCAACCTCTAGAATTGGAAACAAGGGATTCCTCTGTGAGGCAAATACTTAATGCTCAACTTTCAGTCTCTGAACCTGTTACCAATGTGCTTGGAAACAAATTTGGTCTTCCTTTTGTTGAAAATAGTAAAGTTTCCTCTAAAAAACTTTCTTACACCACTGGCTTTACTACAGAAGATAAAAATCAACAACAATCTGAGCTTTCTAGAAGTGACAGAGTGGAGTCTGATTCTGAAATACAAGAAAGCATCCATTCTGTAGGAAGTGCTTGAGGAATCCATTGGATTGTTCTCTGAAATCAGTTTACTGCAAAAGTAGAGAGAAGCAGTGACCAGATGCTGGTGAACAACAATTCCAGCATCCCATATGATTGGTCATATTGGTTGGAACTGCTGAGAGTTGTAACTTAGCAACAATCTGGAACATCAGAATTTCCTCACTTTTTCATGTAAGGATTTGCTTTTTTATATCTACCTTTTTGCCACGTGAGTCTTTAAGAATTTTGTTGTCAGTATACAAAAAGATTGATTGTGCATTTTGGTTTTTATATAGTTTTATAAAGAATCTGGTGTGATTCAAATTCTCATTTATAATTATAATGTGAATAAAGTTTTTACATGATTCTAAGTAAAAAAGGGATTTTTTGTTTGTTATTATTCTACTATTCCACAAAAAAAAAATCAATGGAGGCTGGCTACAAGGAAAGAAGTCTCTGTTTATTTGGTTTCCAGAAACCAGTGACAGCAGCATGTGCCTGGGTTGGCTGACAAAATGGCTGAGTGAGTGGATGGATCTTTTTATAGGGTTCTGAGGTTTTGTGATCGAGATGCTTCAGGGAGTTGTGCAATGTAGTGAGCCTTGTGCCTTTTGCTATTTCAATGGTGGTGGGTTAATCCTATTGTGAAAAGCCTCCCCCCCAAGAATGAAATATTTGGGGGATTAAAAGAGGCAGAATATTATATTTCCTCAAAGGAGAAGTGGAGAAACATGTTATTAAAGGCAGAAAACAAACTCAGTGTCAGCTGTTTGTCCGAGGTTGAGGGGGTGAACAATAAGATATCAACTCACTTGTGTAGCTTCAGTGAAGTTTTTATTCATCTCTCACACCACAACAACAGGTAACAGCGATCAAATTATGTTTAAAGTCAGCTCTGGGTTTCGTTTCAACCCAGAGCTGTATTTATACATGTTATACTTTGGATAACAACATAATTACTATAACCACCTTCTGGCCACCTTCGTTGCCTAACATCCGGCATCCTTAAATTAAAGAAACATGGTAACTGCACCTTTCCCCTGCTCAATGAGTCCATGTACCCCCATTTGCCTCGTATCATTATTACACCCCCCCCTTGACATCCAGCCACGAATCATTATTGCACCACCCCTTGTCAGGAAGCCGATGTCACTTATTTCAAGAATATTCATCATAACGTCCATGTGGTAACACAAGGCAAGTAAAAGACTATGGTCGTATCACATCCTGGCTGTCTCGGCTCCAGTCCGTTCTTTATTGGAGTCGTGACAGGGCGGCCCACTCTACCAAGATTCTGCCTAGAATACAAGAACACATTAGACAAAAGGGATAATGGTGTATGGCCCCTGGCTTATCGGGATGACAGTTGTGGAATTTTTTCCTCAATCTATCTGCACACATATCTGACTCATTCACCCAGGATGCCTCTGATTTGGGATACCCTTTCCATCGTACGAGGTATTCAATAGTATGTCTTCATATTCTAGAATCTAGTATTCTATTTCAAATCATTCTGGTTCTCTATGTATTGGTTTCATTGGTATCTCGTCGTTTCTAGTGACACTTGTTTTAAGTAAATTTGTATGAAAAACGGGATGAATCCGCCCTAGCCATGATGGTAATTTAACTGTCATGGGGTTAATTAATCTTACTATATCAAAAGGGCCTAAATATTTTGGACCCAGTTTCCGGCTATTCAGTTTAATTTGATATATTTGGTAGAAAGATACACTTTATCTCCCACCTGGAAGGGTTTAATATCCTTCCATTTTTTGTTTGTTTGAATTTTATATTCTCTGAAGCTTTTTCTAATGCTTTTTGTACGTTATTCTAACATCCTTGTATATTTTCTCCCCATTCTTTAACACCAGGTGGGTCTTCTTGACAGATGAATTCTGAACTTGGTCCGAATTCCATACCATGTACTGTATAAAATGGACTATACCCAGTACTGCTATGCAGTGCGTTACCGTAAGCAATTTCAGTGAACAGTAATAAATCTACCCATTCTCTTTGTTGATGTGATTTATACGATCTTAAATATCATTCGACCATGGCATTTGCTCATTCTGCGGCTCCCATTTGTACTCGGGTGGTATGCCGAGCTGAGTCCCAGAGAAGACCCCATCAAAACGAGGAATGCCCTCCAAAATCACGCTGTGAACTGCACCCTTGTCAGATATTATTCTTCTGGGCGCCCCGTGTAATCTATACACTTGTGTCACAAACATATCTGCCAATCGTCCTGCCGATGGTAGGCCTTTATAGGGGACAAAATGCTCCTGTTTTGAAAATAAGTCAATTATGGTCCATATTACAGTGTATCCCCTGCTGTTTGGCAATTCAACAATAAAATCCATGGCTATATCTTGCCATGGACGTGATGGCTCTGATACTGTTTGCGATAGTCCCATTGGTTTGCCTACTCTAGGCTTAGATGTTGTACATACATGGCATGTCTTTACATAATGTTCGACATCAACCCTCACTTTGGGCCACCAAAACTGACGGCGGGTTAGATGTAATGTCTTTAAAAATCCGAAATGTCCTGTCTGTTTTACATCATGACAATTTGTAAGTATTTCGTCCCTACACTTGGCTGGCACGTACACTTTAGTCCCTCTCCAAGCTATGCCGTGTGTAATTAAACACAAATGGGATTTTTTTTTCAGCCAATCATGTGCAGTAGCGTTTCGTATTGTGTCATGGGTTGTTTCCTTTAAACGAGTCACTTGACCAACATTTTTGGATGAGTTATCAACAGTTAGGGGTTGAATAATAATATCTCGTGTTGATATTGGGGCAACCAGGACAAGGCATCCGCCATGAAATTCTGTCCTTTCGGTACATACTTTAATTTGAAATTAAATTGATTAAAGTACAGGGCCCACCTGACCTGCTTAGGAGACAATTGTCTTGGTTTTTGTAATGCTTCTAAATTTCGGTGATCAGTCCACACTTCAAAAACCTCCTGTGCCCCTTCCAGGAAATGCCTCCAAGTACTTAGTGCCCATTTTACGGTGAAGGCCTCCTTCTCCCAAATCGCCCAGCTTCTCTCTGCAGTAGTAAACTTCCATGATGTATATGCACGTGGCTGTAGTGCTCCGGTTTCGTTCTCTTGTAACAGGACAGCCCCTATGGCCACATCACTCTGTCCGCCTATATGATGTATTTCTTCATTGGATCAGGATGTAAAATGCGTGCTTGAGAGAATAACGATTTCAATGTTTCAAAGGCCTGTTGACATTGTTCCGACCATTTAACTGGTTGGGTTGGCTTTGGTTTTTCTATTTGTTTCTTTGTTTTTAGCAACTTGGTTAATGGCAGTGCAATGTGGGCAAATTTAGGTATAAATTGTCGATAAAAGTTTGCAAAGCCCAAAAAACTTTGTACCTGTTTTCTTGTTTGTGGGATTTTCCATTCCGTTAAAGATTTTACCTTCATGGGATCCATCTCCAATCCTGCATTAGAGATTCGGTATCCCAGGTAGTCTAGTTTCGTACAATGGAACTCACACTTAGATAATTTGATATGTAATTTGGCATTTAATAATTTAGTTAATACACTCACCAATTGGACGTGTTCTTCCATAGTTTTTGTGTAAATAAGTATATCATTCAAATATACTAGCACCCCACGGTATAAATGTTCTTGTAGTACACCATTAATAAATTGCATGAACACCGCAGGGGCCCCTTGTAATCCAAAAGGCATTACTCGGAATTGATAGCTTCCGAGGGGACAATTGAATGTTGTCTTCCATTCATCCTCAGGTCTTACTCTCACCTGATTATATGCCTCGTGCAAGTCTAATTTAGTAAAGAAATGTCCAGTTGATAAGGTAGCCAACAACTCACTGATTAATAGTAACGGGTACAGGTTATTGATGCAGACTGTGTTAAGTCCTCTAAAATCAACACACACAAGTAGGCCACCATCTTTTTTTTCTCGGAATAGTACAGGGGCAGCTATGTGCAATCGTCCGGCTTTAATAAATCCCCGAGCTAAATTCTTGTCTAGAAAGTTCCGCATTTCTCTCATTTCTTTCGGTGTCATTGCATACATTTGGGGTTTTGGCAATTTTGCCCGTGGAATCAGTTCGATAGTACAGCCCGTTGGGCGGTTTGGTGGTAGAATCTCACACCGTGTTACTAAATACTTCCGCCAAATCCCGATATACTGATGGAAAAGAGAAACTACTATGTTCATTGAGCAAACTAATGGGCTCCACCCTTAAACTTGCTGTTGTACTTCTGGTTCTTCCTGTGGCAGTTCTGGTCCTATAGTAAGTCTCAGCCGTCTAAAACCACCTTCCCACCAAATGGTGGGTTTCCAACGATCCAACCATACTAAACCTAAAATAACTGTCTCTCGCATTTCCAATACTACAGTGAATCTTAATCATTCCCAATGGGTTCCAATTTCTAATTGAATAGGAATGGTCATCATCAGAGCTGGTACTCCCCCTAACAATGACCCATCAACCTGCTCGAACTTCATGGGGGTAGGAAGGGGTTCTAATGGCACATGCAATCCGGCTGTGCCCCTAGCCGCCCATCCTGGCCTATCACTCTTGATTTCCCACTTCCTCCCACGATATTAATATTAAGAATAAAGAATGTTTTAATCTGGGAAGTAGGGAGGCTTTCTACAGTTTCACAAACACTATTAAAAGTGTTCACTAAAAAAACCCAACACAAAACCATGCCTTGTTTTCCACAAGGATCATTAACAAAGCTACTTTTAATCAATTTTAAAACATCAAAATGAATCAAGTTACTATGAAGTGTTTTGCATTGTAATAGTTTAGGCTTTTATTTTAAATCTTTCTTATAAAATCAGTATTTAATTTGCTTTCAGCATATGTAATTTATAACAGAAAAGCAAGCATAATGTGACTTTTCATTATTGCTCTGGAGAAAAAATCCATTGCTACACATGATGGTTAACGTTTTACTCTTGGGTGCTTTACGTTTGAGGGTCAAAGAGTTTAAATCAATATACTGACCTCTTGTTGCATAATTACTAATCAAAAGATAAGGAACACTCATTTAGATTTTTCATCTTTCAGCTTCTGTTCTATTCTGATTTGCTTAGATTGGTTCTTGGACTGTTTTTCAGTATGCAACTTTTCTGTAATGTACTTTATGGAAGGTCACCTGCAACAATTCATAAAGGTTTTGCCAGATTCCTTTATCACAAATGAGAACATTTGTTCTTTCATTATGACATCAGTTTGCCCATTTTGCAATCATGAAATATGCTGCGAGTGCAATACACATAGCTCAAAAATCAGTGGCTTTCCTGATTCTTATACCTCATCATTTTTAGTGGGTTGAGAATTGCACCACTTAAAATATCGTTGTGT